GTCCTTTAGCCCTTTTAAATTTATTCAATACCACCAGCCAAATATAGCTACTTCTTCGGAATATTGTGTCTGTCAAACATTATTGATCATTGATATCGCCAAGAAGCAGCGATAGGCACTTCGTTCGCAACATGCTACTTTTTTCTCTGCATCAAGTGTCAGTAGATTGATTTGCAGATGATCCTCAAACACAATTACTTTAGACGAGCGCTGGATTTAGCTCCGTTCACATCACCATCTTGAGTAGGGTCCATGGAACCTGGTGTAGAGGATGTGGAGCTGGAAGCGGCGCTGGAGCTGCTTCCAGAGACGGATTCTTCGTCGATTTTTGGAATGCTTAGTATTTCTACTTTCCGGCTTGGATATTTCTTCTCTTCCTTGACAGGCTTGACAGGTTTGGTGTAAACGACTGTTTCGGTTTGAAGCCAAACTCCTGTACCTAGCCCCACGTATTGCCGTTGTATCGCTCAGGCCTGGCTATTTTGTCCTTCGATTAAAAGTTATTAAAAGTTGCTGTGGCTTTGAGACTGGCCACAGATGTGTTGGAACAAAGGTAATGTGATGATGGTAAGGTTCGAACGCAGAGGGCGCCGCATACGATTGGCCATATCCGCCAAGGGCACGAGACTTCCGCCGAGTCAGGGTCAAACTTGCCCAAAGAGGCAGTAGGCGACGAAGTGAGTACATCGTTTCCAGAAACGCCATGCCAACGAATGATATCGGGCTACTCTCGTGCCCATATCGGGCTCTCATTATGATCATACATTTGCCCTTCCATTTAGATATAGATCCCTTTCTCAATATGTAAAACTCCGATATATACGTACTTAGGTATACATTAATCTGAAATTAGCCAAACGCTGAAAAGGCAAATTTAAACTTAAACAATAGCAAGATTAAGTAGGAAAAGGGAAAAATTAGAAACCAGAGATTTAGGAAGTTTGTATCATGAATTAGGAAAAATACATCCGCAGTATTACCCTCATGATCAAGAATTGAGGACCACTGTATCACTGTCATTGAGATGGCCGCGTCCTTGGCCAGAAGACAGAATGTCTCAGTCCGAGTTCAATCCTACAGCCTCGCCAGTTCGATCTCACCACTCGATGCCGTTCTCTCGACAGCCTCCACGTTATTCTTTACTGTGCTCGAAAGCCCAGTACTGCCTGTCTCTGTAAGTTCACCGCCTGAAGCCGTGGAAGCCCATTTCGTGACTTCCTTATCCATTTTTTCAAGAAGCTCGTCCATGGTTAACCCCCCCATGGATAAAACGCTATCTTCTAGCGGTGTCTCTGCCAACGTTTTCGGATGTATTCTAATTCGGCGGTACTCAAATTCCGTGCTCGATTGGGTTGAAAGATGATGTGCAAGAAACTTGCCCATTGAACTAAAAGCACGTGGGGCACAAGGATGGTGCTGAAGAATCAGTGGAAATACGTGTGGTAGTGACGTATATTTTTCCATGTGAAGAGGAACAGACGACTCTACAAGTCTATGAGCCCAGTAGTCTTGATGAGAATTCCGGGTTAGTCTAAAATGGATGTGAACTCTTGAGAAAAATCAGAATCATCAGACTTACAATTGCTATCTCTCAAGCATTCATCTCCAACGCAAGCCCAGACAGGAGGGCATCCTGCCCAAGACTTTGCAGCAAGAGGCGATACGAGTGGATGAGTTATTGCAGAATCATTGGCGTAAAACTAGGACAAGTTAAATAATAAGAGACAGTGCATAAAAGAGCTACATTCTAGGGACTTTTGGGAACTTACGTGCGTACGAGGAGGATTTGCCGGCCACGCAGCGCTCGGACCAAACAAAGTATGCATCGCAAGTGTAGGTCCAGGTACTATGAACAATGTTAGCTTACCATTGGCCGTGAGAAACACATCTCATATGCACTTCAAACTTACAATAATCTCCATCTGCGCAACTGGTTTCACTTGCACCACCCTTTCCCATTTCGTCGATGCCAACGAAACACCTTGACAGGTCAACCCAGCCACTCAAAATTTGAACACCCTTCGGTAGGGGAACATCCCTCAATATTCCTCCCCACTTGATCTTCTTTGCACTGCCGTCCTCGTTTGGTGTTTGGAACCATAGCAATAGCTGTATCAGTGACAACGCGAGACCACCTCCAGCCGAATCCCCAGCAAGAAATATTTGGTCTGCTGGATACGGAGAATTGAGGGCCCCAGGCTGGGGGTATAGAAGGGAAAGATATGAGATAAATGAGTCGAGAAGGGCTGAGGGGAAAGGGTTTTGCGGGGCAAGCCTATACCGTGGGAGGAAAACAAGGCCTAGAGATTGAAACTGTGAGCAATGGTACACCAATGATCGAAGCAATACTGACCTCCAAACTCTTTGCTAAGATGTTTGCCTATTGGCCGATGTGTACACGGATCACACATTCTATACTCCCAAGTCAGTAACGGAGTATTACGGACATGACCTCATATCTCGGAGATTTACTCACATGTAGGCACCTATCGAGTTAGTTCAAGAGCCGTTTCTCCTTTTAGATAGGGTTGCACTCACCTCCGTGCAACCATAACACCACTCCCTCCTTGGTATCTTTTATCTTGAATTGAGCGACATCTTCTCTTAGAGCTTCAAACTTCCTTTCGGCCTTCCATTTCTTATGAGGGTTATTTGCTCCCTTGTATGCTCCACGTTTGGGCACATTTCGCCACCCCACAAATTCGCCCGTTAAAACTCCCTGGCTGACCTTTGCTGCGTCTACAACCGCGTCTCCGTTCCGCGCCAGCTCTCGTATTGCTCTATCCATAAGCTCTTCCACTAATTTGACCTCCTCCTCTAGCTCCGGCAGGGGCACCGAGGCTTCAACCACCCAACAATCATCCTCTAAAGTTTGCTCCGAGTTCGCCAAACGCTGTATTTTCTCTATGCTGATTGGGTTTCCGTTTGCATCCTTGGTGTCCTCCCCGGACATGAAAGATTTCAGAAGCGTTACTGTAATGAATGTGCGAAAATCCCAGTCCTTTGAGTGGGGGTTGAGCGATAGGAAATGATTTGCAGATGAGGTGAGCAGATAGGGGACCTTCGGTAACAGCGCGCGGAGCATAGGGATAGCCATTTCAAGCTACAAGATGTTCCGATACAGTCGGTATATTGGGACTTATTGACTATGCGGGACGGATGGCGGACGTTATTGTGGGGTACCTTGACGAGGTAGTTCTGTGAAGACGGAACAGTACCACCCGTGGAACCTCAACTTTCATGTGGTAAGGAAGCCCAGACCTCTGCCGAGAATCCCTACCAGGTGTCCCGAGGATGGAAAAGGTTTGGCACTTGTTAAGCGACTTGTGGTGACAGGGGGCGATTTCAAGGAGCTGTAGCTTTTAGAGCCGCCTTGTTAGGGCAGTCACGGGACCCCCATTCGGAATGTGACGATTCCCGGCATTGACAGCCTGAGCATGTGTTTAGTATGAGACATCGCTAGTGATTGTACAAATCATATGCCACTGAACCTTACCCGGTACGCTTCATTGATCACCACTTGAGCTCCTCCACTTCTCTCTCGTTGAACGTCAGGAAACCGCTTATCGTTGTCGTTCCTTCGTAGTTCCCAAGCACAATTTTTTTTTTCTTCTGCAATCTGCAAGGTCTTCCACTTTAGTTGCCATCCACGTCAACTTCACATGTGGGCCATCTTTGATAGTGAGTAATAGGGAGGAATGGGCCCAGAGTTGGCGATAACCCTCTATTTATTGCTTAACCATGCTGAACAGGGGAAAATGAATCCTTGGTGGCGCCGGTCGAATGATGATCCGGATCTTGCTAGCCGTGGTGGTCCTCCATCAAATATTCCCTAGTGATCAACGTGAACTTTGCAGCTGAAGGCCAAATTAAGACCAGTTCTGAATCGGACACCGTGAAATCCCAATCTTCAGAGCAATCGAATTCTTCAATCCAATATTTTCTCGTGCCCAGTTCTTGATCCCTCCTTTCGTGAAGATGTGGCCAACTCGAAATATTGGTCTCACAGAATTGTACATACATATGCGAGACATCGGCATACCACTGCATGAAAATAGTGGCCAATGCACCCTTTATAGATTCCATATAATTCGCTCAAGTTAACTAGTTGCGTTATCTCACTTGAGTGCCCCCCTCATTTCGAGACTGCCCCTCATCCTCTATATTGAGACTATCATTCTCCTGCAGATTCGATTTCAACGGCGTCCCTTGTCATTCATACCTGGCATGCGGCGCTGGTATACCGTTCGTACATATATGTAAATGGTTGTCGCTTTGAGGTGTATTTCGTCAAGCCGTCAAAGGTTTGGTGGAAATCGTTTACCGGCCGTGAAGACATGGTGATAGCGACAATATCAGTGATAGCGTTAGTTTTTGAATCGACGGTCAAGAACAGCCTCGAACCGGTCATGAAGAAGGAGAGGTGTATCGCAGCCAAGCAATAATCCGGACCGGAGCTGGGGACGAGGCTACTGGTTACCTACCTTAAGAAGTTTATAAGTACATACATAAGGTACATAGTAAGAAAAAGCGGGATGTAATATATCTGGAATTAAACCCCGAGTACAAGGCCCTTTTGAATTTGGGTGGCAATTTGGTAGTCTTACTCTATGCAAGATGCATGCATGTGGCAAATGTCCATTTACAGGTGCATATACTACCTTATTTGCCACCAAATGCAGGATTTTTGCCACAGTTATGCAGTATTTGGTGGCAAATATTGCATTGCCACCAACTCCTAATTAATTATGCTTGTAGAATATACCGCGTTTTCGTATAGTAGGTAAGTATGTTCTGATCTCGGTATGTTCTCGTATAAGTACCCACTGCAAAGAATGGCTATTGGCGCAGGGCAGGGGAGAAGAGCTTGGAGATTCCCATCCTCAAATTTTAAACAACATCTTCATTTCTTCATAACTATAAACTCCGTCTTCGGACTCCCAAACATTCACTATCAAAACAGACAGAAAATATAAAATAAAAAAGTAGCAAAAGGAAATTGCCTCCTGCCGGAATTGAACCAGCGATCTTCGCATTTCGGAACCAACACACTCTTCAGAAGAGAAGGGAAGCCAGTTTACAAGTGCGACGCTTTACCACTAAGCCAAGGAGGCCGTATTTGTTGAGGGCGAATTCACATGATGGCATAACATTAGATCTTTTTTCATCTGCTCCACTGGAGGTGGGAATTCCCTCACACGGCGAACGGAGTTCAAAGTCTGAGCTCGGTAAACGCTACCTACAGGTAACTTGTTTGGTGGAGCTATTTGGTTGCCTTTATTGCCAAGTAGACATAGCCTTGTTCTAATCGGCCGTTTGTTGTGGTTCTGCACGGAATGATTGAGATTTTGAAGTTGAATACAAGGTAGGTACCTACAGGAAATATATCAGAAATTTAAAGTTAATAGATCATACAACGTAGTCTCAAAGTTCCCCGAGCACCGTTTCTGATTCGAAAGAACGGGGCAAAACTTATTGAAGGCAGAAACTGGTGCCGTAGATACCTCGGTATGTGATACTTCTTAGATCCCATTGATCAAAGCTTAAGCTTCCCCAGTCTCGAAAGCTTCCTCGGCTTCCGGAAGTTTAAGATTCGAAACCAAATGTGATTGGACAAGATTATTTCCTAACCCGGCTAGATGCATCTACCGGTAAAGGTTAGTCTCCTTCCATGCAAGTCGACCGAGCAAAAATTGCAGGGAAGATCGACATGGGAGCTTGGAATAAGGAAAAAAAAAAGCAGAGGTAAAGTTCGAGAATGGGGAATAAGGTTACCACTAGTAGCTCCGGAGATCAATTGGAGGGGCATTTTCACGAGGAGCAACTCTATACTATACCGTAGTACAACACACTCACCAGCTACATGCCATGAAGAAACACGCACAAGCCGCATCGAGGCAGAGAGAAAAGGTCGACAAAGAAATCGACACCAATACATCCAAGCTCCTCACTCTACAATTGACCGAACCCTCGACATCGACAAGAACCGGGAATGTCTCCTCCTCCAAGACCACACAACGACAACCGCGGGGAAAGCAAGCTTCCGTATCGACTAGCGCACAGTTGAAAGCACCATCACATCCTCTTCCAGGCCGAGGTCCATCATACACGATAAAAACGCCGTTGCCCCATCCGCATACCGCATTGCTCTTGCATCTCAAATATCTTAGCACATCGATCCAGCACTCTGCGCTCTGTCGGATAGAGGCTTTCTACGAAAGCAGTTATTGCAGGGGGAGATATCTTTCGATAGAGCAAGTAAAGCTGCTACGGCAAGGAGAGCTCGACCCAGGGGGAAAGGCAGTCGAGTTATGCAAAGGCTATGCCGGCTTCAACTTCCCATTGACCAGTGTTGTGGAATGGCTGCAGGCAATGTGGGATGCGCATAGCATTCCTAGTCTGACTGGCGAGGGCGACGACGTTTCGAAAAGTACTGCACCAACAAGATGGTGGGAAGAACATTGTAACGAAGAGGAGAAAGAATTCCTAGATCTGTTATTCGACAAGGCCAGTCTCCTGGGTTCCATTCCAAAAAACGCGGATATCGATTCTGACAACACCTGCGGCATAATAATCACCGGGCCCATGTCCAAGAAAATGCGAAAGTCAGAGAACGATTATGCTGGAAAGTACATTACCAAAGACATCAAGCCATACATCATTTCGCACATGGCCAACACATTGTCCCCTCTCCCTCCCCAACAAAACAACAAGATTGCGAAGGTCGACGAGACATCGGCGCACGAACTTGCCCACTTCGCATACCATTCTTGCCCAGATTATGCCCGAGTGGTGCAGGAACTCTATGATTCTGAACTTTCGGTCCGAACAAAGGAGTTTGTCGAGTTCACTCTCTTGTTACTTGGGTATGATCGAGAGGTGCATGTGGATGAGGTTCAGGCATATCTGAATGTCGAAGGGTTCCCATATCAGACTGCCAACAATGCGAAATCAAAAGGAAAGAAGGCGGGCCAGGATGGTGAGTGGGATATGGGCCAAGTGAAGAAAGAGTTGGAGGCTTTGAAAGTTGGTGTAAAGGCTGCGTACTCAAAGGTCTACAATTGAGCATCCATCAGCAGTTGATGGAGTTATGTTGGAGGGTAAAGAAGTAGAGTCATATCTTACCAAGGCATAAGTATGGAATCTGGGACAAACAAAAATGATTCGCAATGACTTTCCCTACCGAGTACATTTTCGTAAGCGAGTTGTGTGCCAGGCTTTTCCCTCTTGATGGTGCATTGGAGTTTTGAGGCCGAAGGTGAGTCGGAGTCTAGTAAGATGCTCGGATGTTTATGGGCACGTTTTCCAGCAGGTGGGTAGTCTTCAATCGAGTGAGACTCCTTCGAAGAGGGGGTTGGGAACGATGTTCGCTTTCGTCCAGTTACCCTGAACATGATAAAAATTAGCTCGCTGTCACGAATCCTTTCGTCGAACCTTCGCTGCTTGTGGGTAACAATTCAATTTTGAACTTGAAGTTGATGATAGCCTCTAAAAAAGCAAGGTGAAGATTTGGCTTAATGATCTGATCATGGCGGATGGCAAGGTCCGAGGCTGGCGTGAAGCGAGACTTGCTTTTCAGGAGCATAAACTGTTCACGTCGTTGATGGCGTCATAATCTTCATCGTCTCGTACCTAGTGTCGTACCTCCGCCTCTTCAACAGCCTCTTCTATACGAAACTATCTCTGTAATACGGAGGGCTGTTCCAGTCTCGTGGCTATTCAGTGCGTGCGTGCGTACTACCCAAATAGGCATTACTCAAATGGGACTAGATGACCACTTCCAGCGGCGCGCCGAGATGGGCCTAGCACGGCCAGGCTATGACCACTTGTCCACAGTAATTTTGAGCACTCTGCACAACCAGGCTAGCACTCTGTGATCATTAGTCTTAATCCGTCTCGGCAGTTGTGAGTGGGGGGTCTCATGGAATAAGCGTTACTTACTCTGGAAACTACCCCGATACACCCATCTCTAGTCTCGTGCCCACCCATCTCTTGATCTCGTCCATACACGCTGCATCGTGAGAACAACCATGAATACCACGCACCCTGCTGTGCATTCTCGCCTATCGCTTCTCCCTCCATCTTCGACATCTCTCAGTGCCGGTACCCTTCTATCAAGACAAACGCAAAGAATATCCACGGCAGCCTCGCCCCGTCCACGATGCCATTTCGTTGAGGAGGTCAGTCTCAAATCTCTAACCAACATCCTATCACTCATCCAACCCCTGGGCCCTGAAATCTTTTCAAAGCCAGGAGTCTTTTCATCCCACTTTGTCCATCAAATACTTCAATCTCAGCCTTAGCACGGCTCAAACCCAGAATCTTGCCTCGCCGACTTAATACCTCTTCTGAGCCTCAGGGGCCCCGCCCATATGCCACGAGACTACTCATATACATGATACGGTTGGGTAGTCTACTTTCTCACCCTACTATTGTGATGCGTGGCTGCACATTACGACGAGAGCACACTCGAAGGAGAGATTTGCTTTATGACGCTAGTTCATGACACCATCAGGCTTTCAGAGCTAGAACAGAGCCAAAGATCAAGATCCCCCACACCTGTTCTAGCACACGATGGTTTCCAAAAGCCTGAAGCACAAGCGGCCCGCATTTAAATTTTGTTGGCTCATGTACTACGGAAGAACATTTCGTTACACATCAACGAATGCAGGTACACATGCTTCATGTACTTCTAAGGTTCAATGAGGAAGGTACTTACTTATATCCCTACATATGGTTTACGTAATTACGCACCGAAAGATGGCCCACATTTGAGCTAGACAGAGCAAACCCCCCAAAGGAAAGGCAAGCCATAGGAACAACGTACGCCGCCATTTGCAAAGGGATGGGCCGGTGGACCTTCAACGCAGCTCGAGCTACACCTTAAAACACACTTGCATAAGTGGAAGTTTCGGAATATGGTATTTCCCAGCTCTCGGAGAATTAAAAATATAAGCCTCGTGGGCTAAGAAATGGGGCCAATAATAAGTCTCCTGTGAAGATGAACTAGGTCTTGTGTACAGAAACTCGTTTTGTATATTGGTCTAAAAAGCGTCAGAAATGCACTGGCGCAACAACCAAGTCCATATCTTGCACGCCCAATTAGTTGCATTTATATTTCTCCACTTAACGACAAACAGTACTTGATGAAGAGAGTTGACTAATTTCTTGCTTTCTTCGGCAGGCAGATATAATCAAAGTCACCAGGAAATTCCAATTGCTCCAGATGCTGACTGGCAGCCATACTCGGTATGATGCATGCCCGGCCTCTAAGCTAAAAATCGATTAGCAAAGGCAAGAAGAACGGCGTCCCTGACTTGCCTTCAGTTAGTACCGCTAGATTCTTTGCAACAGATCTTCAGAAAAACATGCATAGGTTAAGTACTTAGGCATGTACCTCATGGCATCCAATTTATAAGGTCCACAATGACGCTGTATTATGATAACAGTTCAATTTTTGTACGAATACGTGCTAACCTTTCTCGTGTAGGCTTAAGCTAGGGGAGGCTTATTGAAGCTCTGGTGTTTGAACCTCAAAATTCATCCATTTGGCAGAATGGACCTGTAGACATTTCCACCTTTCAACCCAGATCCGGGCCACACAACTAGCTCTTTTGATGCAACCCAAGGAAACCCTATCCACAGCCGCACAAGGCCGTACATGAAGGATGAAAATTCCAATTATTTCAAAAAACCTCCCTTGCAAGAACTCGACCCATACCAAAGTACTTCTTACTAAGTACTACACCCAGGAAGGCGCCATCAGTGGATTGGTTCTCGCGTCTCATGACTGCGTGGCGATATAACACGTGGACACTGAAACTCAAGATTTAACCTCAAATGCTACAACTATTATTGACATTTCGTCATCAGCAAAACCCCAATTGTGATGACAAAGTCCTGAAATTCAGCCTACAGAGAAGTTTTCTCTGTAGTCTCGTGAACATAATCTTTCGATTGGCAAACCGAAGCCCTGGACAAAATGGAAGTCACCCATGCATCGTGGTGGACAGACACATACTACTACAAACCAAGTGGCTAGGTATTTAACCAAGGTGTACGAACACATATTCTCATGATTCCTTACGCACGGCGCCCTATGAATCAATTGCAA